ATTAGTTCTGCTACTGTGGAAAGCTGTTTGGAGATTTCTCACAGAACTAGAAATAAAATTACCATTCAACCTGGCGATCCCTTTGCTGGGCGTATACCCAAAGGAAAATAAATTGACCAAAAAGACACCCTCACTTGTATGTTTATCGCAGCACTGTTGACAATAGCAAAGACATGGAATCAACCCAGGTGCCCATCAACAATGGATTAAAGAAAATGTGATATGTATACACAATGGAATACTATGTAGTCATAAAAAGGAACAAAATCATGTACTTTTCAGCAATATGAATAAGCCTTGAAGCCATTATTTTATGTGAATGCAGAAAAAGAAAACCACATGTTCTTACTTATAAGTGAGAAGTAACCATTAGGTACACATGAACACAAAGATAAGAACAATAAACACTGGGAACTTCAAAAGTAGGGAGGGAGCACAGAAGTGGTTGAAAAAGTAACCAGGCTGGAGTGCAATGGTGTGATCTCGGCTCACCGCATCTCCTGGGTTCAAGCAATTCTACTGCCTCAGACTCCTAAGTAGCTGGGATTACAGGCATGCACCACCATGCCCAGTTAATTTCATATTTTTAGTAGAGATGGGGTTTTTCCATATTGGTCAGGCTGGTCTGGAACTCACAACCTCAAGTGATCCACCTGCCCTGCCCTCCCAAAGTGCTGGGATTATAGGCATAAGCTACCATGCCCAGCCAACAAGAGTAAAACTGTCTCAAAAAAAAAAAAAAAAAAAAAAAAAGAAGGAAAAAGTAAGCAGATACTATATTCCCTACTTAGGCAACAGGATCAGTTGTACCCCAGACCTCAGCATCACATAGTGTAGCCATGTAACAAACATGCACATGTACCTTCTGAATCTAAAATAAATAAAATTTATATTGAATAGATGGGATGTTTTCCCAAAATATTTTTAAAGAGTTTTTTAAAAGTTTTATGATTATCTGCATGTTTATTCTTTTTAATTTTATCCCTATGAATATAATTTTTTGGCTACTGAGATTGCTATCGTTATTTGTGCTTCCCTATTGATATGGTTTGGTTCTGTGTCCTCACACAAATTTCATCCAGAATTATAATCCCTATGTGTCGAGGGAGGTATCTGACGGGAGGTAAAAGAACTATTCTTTATGGTACTGGAAAGGTACAGAGATGACTATGTATTTGTCAAACCTCATAGAGCTGTAAATCACAATTGGTAAAGCCTGATGTATGTAAACTGGAGGAAAAAGGCATCAAAGAGCCTATCACAGGATCAATCCCAGGATAAAATTTATTCTCTGACAAATGAACCTAGTTTTTTTTTTTTTTTTTTTTTTTTTTTTTTTTTTTTTTTTTTTTTTTTTTTTTTTTTTTGAGAGACGGAGTTTCGCTCTCGTTACCCAGGCTGGAGTGCAATGGCGCGATCTCAGCTCACCGCAACCTCCGCCTCCTGGGCTCAGGCAATTCTCCTGCCTCAGCCTCCTAAGTAGCTGGGATTACAGGCACGTGCCACCACGCCCAGCTAGTTTTTTGTATTTTTAGTAGAGACGGGGTTTCACTATGTTGACCAGGATGGTCTCGATCTCTCGACCTCGTGATCCACCCGCCTCGGCCTCCCAAAGTGCTGGGATTACAGGCTTGAGTCACCGCGCCCGGCAGTTTTTACAAATGAGTGACATAACTGTGCTTAAGGTGACAGGGCAGGAAGTGTCCTAAATTACTGGGAAATTGTATTTTGACTGGAAATTATAAGGATGAAGAATAAAGATACAAAAGCTCTATGCTCTAGTTGGTAAATAAGTCCGAAACAGCTTTACATGTATTCTGGGATTGAACAAATAAGTAAGTGGATATTGGATGATGGGAGCCAGCTTTGTCATTATCAGAGAGGAAAGTTACAGATAAAAATGGAAGGTTAGAATGAATTCTGCGATTCAGGATTAGAGTTGGAAACATCAGGTGTGAACTCATGTTTAGCTTTGTCTATTATACAAATGGAAAAAATACAGAAAACTTTATATGTGAGTTAGTGTGTGTGTGTGTGTGTGTGTGTGTGTGTGTATGTGTGTGTAAAACCTAGCTCTGTCCACTGAGAGAGCCTAGAAGGAATGATACACCAAAAGCAGTGAGTAGTCTCATTATTCTAGGACTGGGGCAGGGAAACTACATAAGCCTGTAACATGTTGTAACAGAAAGTAAGAAAGTGCTCAAAAAGTAAAGGAAAGGGGTACATCAAACAGATATAGGAGCAAACCTGAAAGAAGTCCCAGTGGCCAAAGCTAGAACAATTTGAGCAACAAAAAAAAGTAGTATTTATTGAGTGTGGGCTGCACTTAGTGACAGGCTTTCAGTTAATAAAGTATAGAAAGGGGGAAATAGTAACTTTACAGTGGAGGAACCTGGCATACACTACCTTACCCAAGTGACCAATGTTAGTGTCTTGAGTAGTGTCATGTGGATATCATGTACCACCTGATGTGTTGTGATGAAAAGGGCATTTCATCTCTATGATATTCTTTCCTAAAATTTATAACCATAGTGTAATCATGAGAAAACATCAAACAATGTCAAATTGAGGGACATTCTGCAAAATACATGACCAAAATTTTCAAGGTCATGAAAAACAAGGGAAGACTGAGAAACTGTCAAGAGACCAGAGGAGACTTTTTGAATTAATGGAATACAGTATCATGCATTTGATCCTGGAGTAGTAAAAAGATATTTAATAAAAAAAAAATACTGGTGAAATACAAAGTTTGGATTTTTGTTAATGGTAATCTACTAATGTTGTATTTTTAGTTTAGACGGATGTACTATGGTATTGACATCAGAGAAGTCTGAAACTGAGGTAGATGGGAACTCTGTACTTCTCCATAAATTTAAAATTATTCCTAAATTACAAGTTTATTTTTAAAAGTTAAGGCCAAGTACGGTGGCTCATACCTGTAATCCCAGCACTTTGAGAGGCCAAGGTGGAAAGATCACTTGAGACCAGGAGTTTGAGACCAGCCTGGGCAACACAGCAAGATCCTATTTCTACAAAAAATTTTTTAGAAAATCTGGGCATGGTGGTATGTGCCTGTTATCCTCCTAGCTACTCAGGAGGCTGAGGCAGGAAGACTGCTTGAGCCCAGGAATTCAAGATTATAGTGAGCCATGCTTGTACTCTACCTTCTAGCCTGGACAACAAAGCAAGACCCTGTCAACCAATCAATCAATCAATAGTTAATAACAAAATGCAGAATATAATTTTATTTATGAAAGTCTGTATCTAGATACATTTATATGCATTGACAGTTTATTAAAATGTTTACTAAAATATTAATGGTAATGGGGTTTGAGAATGCTATTACTTTCTTTTTGGTTGTTTTCTCTAGTATTAGATTTTCTTTGATTAGCATGTATTATTTTTATTTTTAAAATTCATTAAAAACAAAAATAGTAAAAGATACTTTTCTTGCCAACTACCTTTCATAAAATTATTTCTTTAATAATTTTTCAATCAGAAGTTTATTCAGTGAAGTGTGAGAAAAAAATGAGATGTTTCATCACATAGGTTTATATGTAATAAAAGATGACAAAGTTTCATGTTAAGTGAAAAAGTGATTATAAGCAATCTATATAGTACACACCCCTAATTCTTGCAGTTAGTCTTGGTCCGAAAATATTAAATGGAAAATTCCAGAAATAATACATGTTTAAAATTGCACAGCATTCTGAGTAGCATGATGAAATATCTCAGTGTCCTGCTCCATCCCACCTGGGGATATGAATCATACCTTCATTCAGTGTATTCATGCTATATGTGCTATCTATCCATTAGTCACTTGTAACTGTCTTGGTTATCAGAGCAGAAAAAAATTATATATATAAGGTTGGATACTATCTGTGGTTTCGGGAATCTGCTGGAGATCTTGGAACATATCCCCTGTTGATAAGGGGGAACTACTGTATTGTTTTGTACTTAGCTATATTCTAAATTTTCCACAATGATTAGGTATTACTTTCATTTAAAAATATTGCATTAATATTTTCATGGGACTGACAGACATCAGAGCTATATTTGAAACTTTAGTCAAAAGCTTTTAACTTAGGTTAAACTTTTTAGAATTTTTCTGGATAACATAAACTGCTTGTAATTAGTACTATATATTAAAATTTAGATTCAACCATGTCTCCTTCAAATAACATAATTAAATTACTTGGCATAATCATCATCATATATTGATTTGGCATATATTTTGAAAGATACAAAAAATTACATAAAATATATTTTGCTTGTCCCCCAAGAATGTGAGTAGCTGAAGATTTTATTCACTGAATTAAAAAACCCTTTTGGAAAATAGATAAGAAATGTAACTTTTTTGTCAGAATTATATGCCCTGGATTTACCCTGAGAATAAATAAGTATTAATACTACTTTTCTAAAACCAAAGTGGCTCAGGTATATGTTTCAATAAATATTTATATCATAGTGGTATAGCATCCACTTTTGGTGAGTGCCTTCTCTATGCCAAATACTTTATTCACATCTCTCATTAAATCCACAAAATGATGCTATATATGCTGTACGTGGTATTAATCTGATTTTATAAATGTGGAAACTAAGGCTCAAAAAATTGAGTAACTTGCCCAGAGTTGCACATGATAGGTATTAGGTTATTTTGTATTAAATAATTTGTAAATTATTTTTTAAAACTTTGACACTCAATATTAAGTATACCTTACGTGCAAACAATTGCTCATATATATCACCATATGTTCATACTTTCTTTATAAGCAAATATAAATTATAAAAGGAGGGACATTTATGAAATTTTAGGCAAATATTTACAGATTTCTGAATTTATTTTACGATACTTTTAGGAAAGTTCTAAAACATCAGGCAAAGTTCTTTTACATACTTTATATCTTTCTGATTTTAATTAGTTTAGGTTTCTAATTTATGTTTTAGAGTAATTGCATCAAATAGGTAGTAATCATACTCTTGGACTTTTTCTGTTTCAGGCAGAAAATATAACTGTGACAAAGGATTTTAGGAGAGTGGAAAATGCTTATCACATGGAAGCAGAGGTATGTACTTATCTTAAATAATTGGAAGCAGCATGATTTTTAGGAGACAGTTTGTCATTTACTTTTACTGTTGAATTGAAATGAATATTGAAAAATGCTTCTCATTATATTGATAGATTATTTTTCTCAAAATCATTTTGGTGTTATATATATGTTTCAGCTTTTAAATAAATTTAATGAGATTTAAGAGAAGTTGTTTTAAATGAAATAAAAATAGCAAGTGGAAAATAGCAGTTAATTGCCACTAAATAAAATTTTAATAATAGTTTCACCTAATGCACAGGCGAGAAATTGCTTTTTACGTAAAAAGCAATAAAGTCCTAACATAAAGGGACTTTGAATGCTTTTCAACATTCTTTTGTTTTGCAGTGCAATTTTTCTGTATTGTGATAAATATTATTTAAAAATGAAAACCAGGCTGGGCACGGTGGCTCACACCTGTAATCCTAGCACTTTGGGAGGCCAGGGCGGGGCTCATGAGGACAAGAGATCAAGATCATTCTGGCCAGCATGGTGAAACCTCATCTCTACTAAATATACAAAAATTAGCCGGGCATGGTGGCACGCACCTGTAGTTCCATCTACTCAGGAGGCTGAGGCAGGAGAATCACTTGCATCCAGGAGGCAGAGGTTGCAGTGAGCCGAGATCATGCCAACGCACTCTAGCCTGGGCAACAGGGCAAGACTCCTTCACAAAAAAATAAAAAAATAAAAAAAAATGAAAACCATTCAACCTTTACACAAATTTAAAAGAATAAAATTATTTTCAATACACTTAATTAATGACAACATTTAGTTCCTACAACTGCCTATACTTTTTACTTATATTTAAAGATCTGATGGTTAGGCTTTTGTGAAATGAGAATATGTTCTAGTGGTGGTTAAGTTACAGGACTGCTGTTTGTGATTCCAAACATTTTGGAGTATGTTTCTACTCTGAGGCATCTTCCTGTAACAGGAAACAAAGAAAGTGGGGTTATATTGGAATCTTGTATATTAAATGAGAGAATCTTTGTCTTTTGAAGTAGAAAATATCTCCATCACCTGTTTCTATCTTCAGGTGAATAATACACTATTTTTCTGATTTTAAAGATGTGACCTTAGGTTCAAATCACTTAGGTCCAGATTTCTCAAAGGTCATATAACAAGAATTAGATTAGAAATTAGAACCCTGGATTCTTCTCTCTTGAGAAGCAACTTCCACCATATTCTGTTTGTTGCCCCAGTGCTTCCTGTAATCATTTTGTGATTTCGCCACTTAAAATTTTACATCAAGCAATTTTTAAGTTACTCATTATGATTTGAAGGATCCATTTGGCAAAAATTATTTTGTAGTAATGGAAACTGAAAAATACCTTTCAAAACAGTATGAAGAGCAGTATGATCCAAATTGTAGAGGTTAAAAGCAGGTAGTATGTTAGAGCACTCCTCTAGTAATTATCACCTGTTAGCATTTCAGACTATAATGAATATAGATAGGAGCAACTTATCTTAGTTAAGGAGGTTTATTGTGAAGGTACCAAGGGAATAATGAGAAAAAGGAAAACAGTTCCACAATTACACAGCTAGGCTTCATGGAAAACTGGAATGTGTTTGAACCACTGAGTTCAACCCACTAGGGACTGACCTTCCAGATGCAGAAAAACCATTAAAACTGCTTGTTTTAAAACGTGACTAAATGAGAATATGGCTAAATTCTGTTCCTCTTTGTTCCGCTTTACTTATCTTTTTAATGTTTTGTATTCAGATTTCTTAGGAGAGAATCTAATTATATTTGATAAAGGGATTCCAGGTAGCCTGATTCATATCATATCACACAGCCCAATACATGATTGCCGTTAGGTCAGCACCAGCAGTCAGTGGAAACCAGGAGTACTGGGATCACAAGATACAAAATGTACCAATCTAAGCATCAGTAACAATGTGTGGCTTTATGGCTATGGATTTAGCAAACACTAAAGCCTAACATATAACACATACCAGTATTCTTAAGTACTGTTAAATATATGGAATGGGATTAGATGGTTGGTAGACTGCTACAACTCAGTAACAGAAAAGCAAATAACCTAAATTTTTAAATGGATGAAGGACTTGAATAGACATGTATCAAAAGAAGATGGCCAAAAGGTATATAAAAAGGTGCTCAGCATCACTAATTATCTGAGGAATACAAATCAAAACTACATTGAGCTATAACCTCACACCTGTTAGAATGGCTATTTTAAAAAAAGCAGAAAACAGTGTTGATGAGAAAGTGGAAAAATTAGAATGCTTGTGCACTGCAGGTAGGAATGTATGATGGTGTAACCATTATGGAAAACAGTATACAGGTTCCTCAAAAAAATTAAAAATAGAACTACCATATGATCCAGCAATCCCACTTCTGGTTGTATATCCAAAAGAACTGACATTAGGATCTGGAAGAAATACCTGTACTTGCATGTCCATTACAGCATTATTCACAATAGCCAAGCTATAGAAGCAACGAAAATGTCCATTGACAGATAGATGAATAAAGAAATGCATTGTATACATACAGTGAAATACTATTCATCCTTAAAAATGAAAGGAAATCCTACCATTTGCAACATTGCTATGCCTGGAAGGCATTATGTTAAGAGAAACATCAGTGACAGGATAATTAATACTGCATTATTCTGCTTACATGAGGAGTCTAAAATAATCAAATTATAGAAGCAAAAAATAGAAGCTGGTTACCAAAGAATGGAGGGAAGAGGAAATGGGATTTCTTATTCAATGGGTATAAAGTTACAGTTATGCAGATGAAAAAATTCTAGATATGAGCTATACAGCATAATGCCTATAGTTAACACAATGTTATGCACTTAAAAATTTGTTAAGAGGGTAGATCTCATGTTTTGTTAATGTCATACATGTATACAAAGCAAAGGACACAGGAAAGTTCTGGAGGTGACAGATAGCTTTATTGTCTTGATTATAGTGATGATGTCACAGGTATGCATATGTCCAAACTCATCAAACTGTATATTCTAAATATGTACAGTTTGTATATATAAATTACACCTCAATATGGCTCTAATTTTTTTTTTTTTGAGACAGTCTCACTCTGTCACCCAGGCTGTGTATTCTAAATATGTACAGTTCGTATATATAAATTACACCTCAGTATGGCTCTAATTTTTTTTTTTTTTTTTTTTTTTTTTGGAGACAGAGTCTCACTCTGTCACCCAGGTGTGCTGTGGCATGATCTCAGCTCACTGCAACCTCCACTTCCCAGGTTCAAGTGAGTCTCCTGCCTCAACCTCCAGAGTAGCTGGGATTACAGGCACATGGCTAATTTTTATATTTATAGTAGAGACGGGGTATCACCATGTTGGCCAGGCTGGTCTCAAACTCCTGACCTCAAGTGATCTGCCTCCCTCAACCTCGAAAAGTGCTGGGATTACAGACGTAGGCCACCCAGCCTGGCCTAAATAAATTTTTTAAAAGATTAGATGAGGCCAGGCACAGTGGCTCATGCTTGTAATCCCAGCATTTTGAGAGGCCAGGGTGGGCAGATTGCTTGAGCCCAGGAGTTCCAGACCAGCCTGGGCAACATGGCAAAACACTGTCTCTACAAAAAAAAATACAAAAATTAGGTGGGCATGATGGCATGCACCTGTAGTCCCAGCTACTTTGAAGGCCATGGTGGAAGGATCACTTGAGCCCATTAGGTGGATGATGCAATGAGTCAAGAACATGCCACGACACTCCAGCCTGGGTGATAGAGTGAGACACTGTCAAGAAAAAAAAAAAACAAAGAAAGACTAAAGACTTAAACATAAGACCTAAAACCATAAAAAACCCTAGAAGAAAACCTAGGCAATACCACTCAGGACATAGGCATGGGCAAAGACTTCACGACTAAAACACCAAAGCAACTGCAACAAAAGCCAAAATTGACAAATGGGATCTAATTAAACTAAACAGCTTCTGCACAGCAAAAAAACCTATCATTGGAGTGAACAGGCAACTATAGAATGGGAGAAAATTTTTGCATTCTATTCATCTGACAAAGGGCTAATATCCAGAATCTACAAGGAACTTATACAATTTTACAAGAAAAAAAGCAAACAACCTCATCAAAAAGTTGGCAAAGGATATAAACAGACACTTCTCAAAAGAAGACATTTATGTGGCCAACAAACATAGGAAAAATAGTTTATCATCACTGGTCATTAGAGAAATACAAATCAAAACCACAGTGAGATACCATCTTACTCCAGTTCGAATGGTGATCATTAGAAAGTCAGGAAGCAACAGATGTTGGAGAGGAAGTGGAGAAACAGAAATAAGAGTATTTTTCATTGTTGGTGGGAGTGTAAATTAGTTCAACCATTGTGGAAGACAGTGTAGCCATTTCTCAAGGATCTAGAACCAGAAATACCATGTGACCCAGCAATCCCATTACTGGGTATATACCCAAAGGATCATAAATTATTCTGTTATAAAGACACATACACACATACGTTTACTGCAGCACTATTCACAATAGCAAAGACTTGGAAATGCCCATCAAAGATAGACTGGATAAAGAAAATGTGGCACATATATACCATGGAATACTAAGCAGTCATTAAAAAGGATGAGTTCATGTCCTTTGCAGGCACATGGGTGAAGCTGGAAACCATCATTCTCAGCAAACACAAGAACAAAAAACCCAAACACTGCATGTTTTTACTCATAAGGGGGAGTTGAATGGGAAGGGAGTATCACACACCAGGGTGTGCCAGGGGCTGCAGGGCTGGGAAGGGATAGCATTTCAAGAAATACCTAATTTAGATGACAGGTTGATGGGTGCAGCAAACCACCATGGCACGTGTATATCTGTGTAACAAAACTACATGTTCTGCACCTGTCTCCCAGAACTTAAAGTATAATTTTTTTAAAAAGTCCAAAAAGAGAGCACAGAGAAAATGAAAGAGAATAAAGGAATTTTTAAAAAAATTCTCCAAATACCAAAATGCAGTATTGGAATT